AACTGAGTAAAATAAAAAAAAAAAAAGAGTCCAAATTCTTCCCAGAGGGTACCTGGATTGTCAATAAAAGCAGCCTCAGAATGCCCAGAAGAAACACCCCTGGACCGACAATCAAATACATGTCTCCATCTCACAATGGATCAAATCATGCACAGCCTCAACTGATAGTGACCCCCCCCCCTCACCATTGACTATAGAGAGATGCTAGATAACAGAGGAGGAATAGGTCTCATTAGCCTCCTTGCTGACAACATTAACACAGGAATTCATGCCCAAAAGAAGCATGTCTGAATTTTTTTTTTAGAAAATTATAATTCTACAGAAATCCACAAGGCAATGCCAAAATCACAAACCACAAGGCAACAAAGCACAGCACTTCATCAGAGTAAACCATGACCAAATGCTTTACCAAATGAGTGAGGTGCTTATATACAGTACCAGGATAGAGGGTGCATTGACGTAAGTGGAGAGTGTTGCAAAACCAAATATCACTAAGGGCATTTAAGTGGGGTATAAAAGACTGGAGCAAGTGAGACCAATGCTTAGATGGGTTAAGTGAAGGTAAAACTATAGCTATGTTTCAGCAGATGGTAAGTATGTTTTAGAAATACTTTTCTTCACCTCAAAAATCTCAAATTTAATTTGTGTAATCTCTAAACCCTTTTAAATACATTTCAAATGTTTATTTTCAGTAACACTTTATACTTTATCTGTTACTGTCTCTATATGCAGTTGGTCAATTTGACCAACCTCATAACTTGCCATCCCCCCCCCAAAAAAATCTAAATGATACTCATTTTTTTCTAGCATTACTTCAAATTTCATTAAATAATGCACCAAAGAACATAGAATAATAACATGTAAAAAGTAGACAAGTTCCTCTAACTATCACAATTTTGCTGGTTTTCTAACTACAAGAGTTGTTACAAATTCACCCAAGCTAGTCATTATCTTTCCTATGGGAATTAAGCTTGTACTGAAAGAGAAATTGAAAATTCTCTATTTAGAACACAATGTAATATAATAAGTCATTTGATAGACGAAAACCTTGGCTTTCTATTAGTTATAGATAATAAAGAATTAAATGCAAGAGAGAACTGTTAACAGATTCTGAAAGAGTGGGTGTAACAAGAGGGATCTGATTTTCTATTTGATGGCT